GCACTTGATAAAACCTGTTGAAAATATGGGAGGTCGTTGATTTATTGACTTGGTTGGGGGCAGAACGACTCTCGACAATATTTTAATTAAAAACTCTTTCCAAAAAACACACACACACAGTATTTTCATCTTTTTTTGGCAGCCACAGTCGCCGTATTCCCTCAAGTAATTTTCAGGCCAAAGATGAGGCATATCGAGGCCGGCCAGAGAGATGCAGACACCTAATAAAACTTTTGCGACAAGAGCTGCTTTCGAGTGTAACGAAAACAAAAACAATAATTTTTCCAAGCAAAGAGTAAAGTAAACTAAAGCAAGGAGGGAGAGACACCTGAACTGAACTGAACTGGACTGGACTGTGTCCTGTCCCCAGAAGGATTCTCGGGGACATTTGCAGTTTTCTATTTGCCATCTTGGCTGGGATTCTATTGTTGTTCTTGCTGCTGGAAAACTATTTGCCATCTCGACAATTTCCCGCACGTGCAGAGCATTCGGAAAAGCCAAGCAAAGTTTTTCGATTGCGGGTGCGATGGCAGGTGCAATATTTCAATAAAATCTATATATATAATATATATATATATCTATATTTACCAAAAGAAGAGCAACTTTCAATGATTTCATATTTTTCCCAGCCATTGGAGAAGGCAAATGGACTTCAATTTGCTTCTCAACTTCATTTTGGTATATACTTTTATGCCGAGAATCGGCAATTAATAACAATTAGAGCCGGCGCCGCCATCATCGCCTAATTGCGGATAATACATAACTCTCCCACTATATATAATATATTTATGTATATATCTGGGCTTACTTGCCGGCAATAATTTAAGCCGAAAGCGTAATTAAATTAATTAGGATTAACTTTGGCTGTGCGCGCATTAAACTAGCTTTGATTAGCTTATGTTTCTGCATACATTTGACAACTTAGACATGCAGATACAAATGTATCTACGTGGCTGTCGCCGCATCTGCCTCTGTATCTGTATCTGTATCTGTGTGCTGTTCGCTGTGCGTGTGTGTGTGTTGGTGTGCGTGTGTATCTGTGTGTGTGTGGCGCACATGTCGCATGCTGTTTAATCTGAATGCTGGCGTTGGGTCGCTTCGGTAATCATAAAGATGGAATAAGCGATGAGCTCTGTCTGCCCTGTCTGCCAATTTGCTTTAGTTATGCTCTCACGCATTGTTGTTGTTGATGCTATTATTCCCGTTGTTATTGTTTTTGTATCTGCCATGTCCTGCCAAAGGTCCTTGTGATCCTTATCCGCTGATTCAGCCGATACATGCCCCAAAAGCATTAAAGAGAAGTTACTATGCCTTTACTCTAGGCTCTAGTCAGGGTTTTAAATGCAGTAAAAATGTGTATAAAATTAAATAAATTATTATTTCTTTAAATAAAATAAACACAAAAGTCCTTTTTATAAAGTTTTTGAGTTCAAACACCTATTTCAAAAGATAGGGGGCAAACAAATCATTATTTTCCAAAGGAAACCCTTTACAAATGCTTTGTAGTTTAATATTAAAACATTTTTTGACTAATATATACATTTTTTAACGGCAAAATGTGTACATATTTCTAGCTCAGCTTAATTTTAATTTGTTAAAGAAATTCCTTTGCAAATAAAAATCAAAGTTTAAAAAACTCATAACTATGCCAAAAAAGCCTTAATTTTAATTCGGAAAACAGTTTTAAGTTAGTTTTTCTTATATTTATAAAAAGTCAATTTAAAATTTAAAAAAATTCAAATTTTTTTCTCAATTTTTGACAATTTTAATGATGTAACCCCTTATAAAAATTTCAAAATTTTAAAAAATTTATTTTTTGACCGGACACGGCTAGAACAACTCGGCAGATTATTCTGATCAAGAATATATATGATTTATGGGGTCGAAAATGACTCCTTCATATTTTTCTAGGCTTCTGACTGTAATCGTAAACCTTTCTTTGTGCCGATTTTTATCTATATTTTAAATGAATATTTGTTCTCCAAATCAATGTTTAAAAATCCCATTACTAAGCCAAAAAAGGATTAATTTTAATTCAGAAACCACTCCTATGTTAGTTTTTAAAAGCTTAATAAATCTGTATAGTCAATCGAAAAATTAAAATTTTGGTCAATTTTTGTAAATTTTAACGAACAAATTTTTTCTGCCAAAGATGGCTAGATCGATTCATGCTGATCAAGAATATATATGATTTATAGGGTCGCAAATGACTCCTTCACATCGTTACGATTATCTGACTAGAATTCGAATACCCTGGAAGGGTATAAAAACACTTGCCATTTTAAGTCTAAAAAACACATTCTCCATTCGCTATATGATATCTTATATGTATGTTTCCTCTTTGCTTGGTTAAATCAAAGCTGTAATTTATTGACCAACACACAATGGCAGTTAGTTTCGGTGACTTATCAGATTTTTAATGATTTCGCCACTTACTAGCATAAAAGTGCGAGTATGGCCGCATTTAAGATTTATTTTCGGTTTTTGTTGTGGGTTTTTCCTAGTTTCGGACTCGTCTAATTTATGTCACGAATAAATGTGTCGCAAATCATTACGCGAGGAATTTTCCTATTTTTTTCTGATTGTTGGAGTGTCAGAGGACGCTTTATTTAATGGCTTGGAAATGGAAAAAATAAACAAACAAACTGGGTGCGGGAGCGGGAACGAGGAGTGGCTGTAGCTCCGGCGATGACGAGGCATTCGAGTTGGAGGACATCAGGACGAACGAGCCACCTAAATATAGACACAAATCACAAAAACTCAGGCTGGCAGCCAGGCAGGCAGGCGAAAGGAGCAAATCCAAAGCAGGATCCATTGTTTTTGTCCCCCTGTTTCTATTGTTGTTATCCTTGGTGGTGGCTGAGAATGAGCACATTAAATCAAAAGTGGTGCATAAAGCAGAAACAGGAGCAGAGGTCACTGGGACTGGGACTGGAGCTGGAGCACAGAGTTTACATGGAGCAAAGAGCATCGAGTTGAAAACACAAGGATTAAAGGCGGCAGAAGGACGCTGAAAACGACGAAAACGAGGCAAACGTTTAACGCCTGCAGGATATTTATGATCATGAATTTTCTTATTGTGCTCCTCCAGCTACTGCCGCACTACACTGAGCATAAAATGTAATTGCAAATCATCATCTAAGCAGAGGTTTAGTTATATTTTAGATATTACAATATTAAAATCTTTTCGAATTTGTATATTAGATAAGAAAATTGTAATAAGAACATGTTTTGTCTAGCTTAAATTATCTCTAAATATTTGCTTGGTTACATATGTTTATAATCACAATTAGAAACATACACCGCACTCATATTTTTACGGCTAAAAAACCTCTCAGTTTATAAATTACATTTCTGCATTTAACTAAATCTCATATATTTTCTTCAAGTGTCCTGCTGTTGGCCTTGTCTCGCCCACGCCTGTCCCGCCCGGCAGCCAGGACTCTAAGCGATTTATTAAAATGTGCAGCAGAAGGAGCAGACGTAGACAGAGTCGCAGGAGCGTCGAGCGGACAGCTGAAGGACTCGCAGGAGCTGATGTCTGAGATGAGCTGAGCCAGCCTCGACCTCGATAGCTCTCTCTCTCGCTCGTCTGCATCGAATGGAGGTCCTTCGCCGCGCCCACCAATCGACAGAAATGAGTTATAAAACTTCAATAATCTGAGCGAAATATTTATTCATGTTTAGCACGCAGATATGCAAAGGGAGTGGCAAGGGAATCACGATGAGGGACGAGGGCAAGGAGAAGGAGCAGCAGAGGAGCCTTGGAGCGGCCATTACTTTATTTACATCATATCCTGCAGGATGTGCTTGGCACACCGTGCTGCTCACGACTGTGTGGCGCACTTACAGCGAATCAATAACAAAATAAATCGTTTTACAACCGCAGGACATTGTATTGTGTTACACAAAAGATTGCCAACGCCGTGCCACTCCCCCTCCCGCCTCCCTCAAAAGGATTCGATGGATCCGATGGGTGCCCTCTTCAGCTGCAAGGAGCAAAAAGGATGAAGCAGTGAAGGGAGAAAGGAGAAATGAGAAAGGAGGGCAGGACTCCTGCTGCCAGGGCCAATGAAAGCGAAAGAAACGAAACGAATCGAGTCGAATCGAAACGGAGCGAAACGATACGAATAGGTACACTGAAAGTATTTAATATTTAATAATAATAATAATTATTTATTTTATTTATTTATTTATTATTGATATAACCATGAAATAAGGCATCTAGTTAATAATTTGTCGGAGGTTTCTCATAAGACAATTCTCTTGTTAGGTGTTTCAGACACATAAACTGATCTTCTAAATATTTTTATTAGCCCCTATAAACTATACAAATATTTAATATATATTTAAGATTTATTCATATTAAATATGCGTTTTCTTGTATATTTATTTTTCTTCTGCTCTGTGCAGGAGTTGAGCTGCCAACAACAACAAGAACAACGAGGAACAATGCCCAGGCACTTGGCAGAGAAAACAAGCAATGAAAGGATATTATAGTAAAAGTATTTATACAGCGAAAGGGACAAAGCACCAGAGCAGAGGGAACAAGGACGAAGCAAACAGAGCACCGAGCACCTCCAACACCGAGCTGGTAGATGCACTACGACGATAAAGTGAAAGGAAGTAGAAAGTATAAATCGTTGCAATCAATTTTCGCTATGTGCTAGGAATTGATAAACTGCTTCAGCTGCAGCTCTCAGCTCCCAGCTCCCAGCTCCTGCAGGTTCAGGTCCAGATCCTGGGACTCAGTCCGGTTTGCCCGTCAGTTGCCAGGCTCTATTTGGGTTACCTACATACCGCAGGAAAGTGAGAACTTATGGGTCACTGTGGGTGGCTTGCTGTTGGTTTTGTTTATGGCTTAGTTCTTCGTCCAAACAAGCTGCTTCTAATCGGAGCTTCAATTTTGATGAATTCCCAAACCACTGGGGAAAGCAGGGAAAATTGCAAAGGAAAACTAACATTTTTGCATGCTCTTCAATATGCTTTAATTACTACTTTCACTTCACATAGACAAAGTTAAAGAAACCGTGCTTATTGCGGAAACTCTCCACAGCATTTCCTGGAAGACATCCCTTTTTGCAATGACATCCTCTGGGATTGCACCTGCCACGGCCACACCAGGTGCCAACGACTCGGTCACCATTGCCGCAAATCTTGGCCTTACAGGTGTTGCCGTGTTTATCCTTTTTGCCGCCAAAAGTTCCACAGTTATGTCCTTTTCCATTCTCGGCCAACTCGAAGGAGACGTGAGAGGGCTTGCAGCAAACGGCAGAGGTTTCCGTCATCTTACAGCAAAGCCAAATGGCCAGGATCAGCGAAAGGACAATCACCAATCTCATCTCGAAGACACCAATTCGTAACTAATGAGCATCAGAGAGAAACGAAGGTTTTTAAAGGTTTTGCCCCAACTGCTTCTAGTACAATTTGAAGATAATTCTTTTAATTGAGAAACAATTAGAGATAAGTCCCATGAGAGATCACTGAACTCTTTTCAAATCATTGAACGCTTCTTATCTACAATTAAGCAATTAGTACAAGAAGTTAAAAAATGCTTAAGACCATGTTACGTTTCATTTTACACAGAAAAAATATTAAAGATGTGTTTAACAAATTGTGACAAACTAGAGTTTAATGAATCGTTTAGCTTTCGTGAGGAGATAAAAAAAAGAAGAGAGATTTCCGAACTCCTCTCACGTCTTGTGTATGAAAAACTAGGAAACTAATATGACCATTTAATGAAAAAATAGTTCAATCAAACTAAGCATAAATAAGTCATTTCATTTTGTAGTTCCAACAAAATAATAAAATACCAGGAAACACACATGTGCTTGTTGTGGTTAATATGAAACTAAGAAGATTGAGACTTCAAAACGGAATCCACTTAGCTTTAGTTTTTCTTTTCCGAGGAAAATCACTCTAAAATGATTTGACACTCGTCGGGGGCGGGGACAAGGGGACACAAGGACACAGGGACACAAGGACACCAAGGGAACAACGTGAGAAGTAGACGTTGACACATGCCGGCAAAAATATTGTGTATACGCCGCGTGGTACGCACAATAAAACCTAAAATTTATATACGTTACAGTGGCGGCACACAGCACTGCGACTGCAAAATAAATATTTTATAATTTAATCAACATAAAAGCAACAAAGCCGAGACAGAGATAGAAACAGAGAGACAGAGAGAGAGAGACAATAAAAAGGCAGTAGCAAATACATACGTTGGCGCGATAATGCTTAATGATAAGCGCAAGTCGGCCAAGGAACGAGATGTATATATGGGAGCATAGGGGGAAAATACTGGCGGCAATAGGCCAAGATGTTTATCACACCGAGTGAGACAATAAAGCGCGGAGACAGACGTCAGCCTCGCTCCCATTTTGATGGCGCTTTTCCACCGCCCGCCCCCTGCATTTTCCCGCAGTGGCATTTTCCAGCGCCCTGCGAGGTCGACGACTGGCGCTGACAAATGGACAATGTCTGACAGACGACAGGCCCGTGAGCATTTCGAGTTTGGACAAGTTTATATTTGCATTTATTTCTATTAGGCGCACATTTGTCAAAAGCTGTTTACGAGTGTGTGCCGCCGGAGATCAAATCTCGCAGACGTCTTTAACTTCTTCCTTCCTTTTTTATTGTTATCCTTAAAGTTACCTTGTGGGATGGCGGATGTCACCGTTCGATTTGCTCAGCCGTTATTCCTTCCGTTCTTTCCTTTTTTTAGACAAACGGACTCATCAAAGTAATAAAATATTTATTTGGTATTGTTGTGCACTTTTATTTGACATCATAAACAAAACCCACAGAAGTGTAAACAAAGCTGGCGGAGACGTGTTCCCCCACTCGATGTTGTTGTTGTGCGGTTCGGTTGCTCCTGCGAGTCCTGTGACTCCTGTGACTCCTGTTGTTGACTTATTTAAGACATAAAGTGCTCACGCACACCGACACACACGAGCCGAGTATTGACACGCTTACGTGTGGGCGTTCCTAAATTTAACGCCTTTGTATGCGGAAAATCGGAGGAGACGGCAGGAAAGAAATGAAAACCCCCAAAACAGAAAAAAACCAAAAACAGAGAACCGAAAAACAGAAAAACAGAAAACCAAACAAGGAACCAAGTCAAAAACGCATAAATTGTTGCTGCCGCTGCTGCCGTCGTGTGTAAATGGTTCTTGACATTGCCTCTAACTTGGCCGGGATGTTTTTCCGGCTTTGCTCCACCATTTCCTCTCCCTCCCCCTCCCCCTCCTCATCCTTGCTGTTTGTTTGTTTCGCATTCGTGGGCTTTAGATTTGGATTCGGATTTCATTGACCTCGTTGAATGATTCTACAAGTGCCGCAACGAATTTAACTGGCAATTCCGTTTGGAAATTTAATTCACAAAATCGTTGGGATCACTCTGAACTGTTCAATTAATAGTGTAGGATTCAATGGAACCCTCATAGCATTTTTCGCTATTAAAGAGCCTAATAATGTCGTATTTAAAGATAAAGGTTTATCTCCAATTATAATTTATCAAAAAATAAGCAATAGCATTAGCCTCAATTTGGTAAGCTTTTGGATTTTAATAAACTACTAATATTTAATTATTATTTAATATTTAAATTAAATGAACAAAACTAAATTTTTAAGAGTTTTACTGAATTAAAATTGTTTTTATACTACATATATTGATATTCCAAATCGAAACAAATATGACCTTTGGCAAATATCGATTATTTGGTCTTCGTATACCTACAAGAAAACCTAAAATTCTTAGTATGTTATCGATAGTTTAATATGCTAACATTTTGGTTAAATCAAAATTTTTCATATATCATAACTGAGCCATAAATGCCTTAAATTCAACTCAGATAGCATTTCTGTGTTAGTTTTTATAAGCTTAAAAATTCTGCATATTAAGTATTGAAATTGAATACCTTTAATTTTTGTTCAAATTTTTACAATTTTTTATTATGTAAAAAATCATAAAATTTGGAAATAAAAATCGAAAATTTATTTTGTTCACCAGTCATAACTAGATCGAATCGGTTGTTCATGCTTATCAAGAATATATAAGATTTATAGGGTCGGAAATGACTCCTTCACATCGTTACAAGTATCTGACTAAAATTAGAATACCCTACAAGGGTTTAAAAAAAGGATGCTCATCAGCTACATAAACTATATGGCAATTGATTAAAAAGCTATTCATTTCTATCATTTACTCAGTTAATCTATAAATATATATTTCAATAGCATATGTTATTTATTCCATACTTCTCTCCCCTCTAGAACTTTGTATCTTCCTTGATTCCTTTCTAGTTTCTTTTTTAATTCAAACTACTTTGTTCTGCCTTTTCTTTATCCTTTTTAATCGCTGTCTTCTTGAGCCTTTCTTGGCCTCTTTTTCATCTCGTTCCTCCGTTAAGCTCCATATGCTACGGATTGGTGGAGATCCCAGGCCAAGGAGGCAGGGATGGGATATGAATATGGCAAAAAACGGAACAGCCGGCGGGCTCTAGACGCACTTTTTTGTTTATGCCACCTTAGTCCTGACTCCTAGTTCTCTCCTAGGTCTGCCCAGGTCCTTGGGAGCCTCGGGAGCCTCGAGCTTGTGGCAACGCTAGTGATTCTGCCGCTGATGCTGCCGGGCGCTTACGTGCCACGCATATAAATTATTGTATCTCGAGCGTATTAAAAATGTACGAGTGCTCATCTTGTTATCCTGTTGTGTAAGCGGATTATGTCAGGCATAAATGTCATGCGTTGGAGCGCCCCTGTGCTCTGCGTCCTTCGTCCTTCGTCCTTCGTCCTTGCTGCATTTACCTAGCTGCCGGCTGCCTTTTGTTTTCCATTTCGTTTCGAGCTGGGTTTGGTTAGCACCACGTTTTTTGATCCACCGATTTGTTCAACAGTGTTGTTCAACCATTTTGCATTACACGCCACACAGGACCAAAAGGATATCAATAAAATGACGAGTGAAATTCATCCTAGCTGCATAGGGTTGCAAATTTTCCATTTTCCATTTTAATATAATTTTTAATATGTGACAGGGGCAAAATAATTAATATTTAAAATCAGTCAGAGTAGGTATATAATATCCATATCAAAAGTTACATGCGACATTAATTTTGCACGGATATTATCATAAACTTTGATGTATTTGTAATCAAATTTTGAGTTTTGAAATTCACTTTCTTTATAAAATCAATATTTTTAATCCATAAAATAATGAGAATGTAAACTATTTCTTTACATGATTTTCCAATAATTATCCAACTTTATTTCCGTGTAACCCCGGAACCCTCGGGCACTATTTTCAGTGCCATTTGGTATTCACTTTTATTGAAATTTAAAACCACCGCCAATCGACACACGATGATGGCCCATAACTTGCGCTTAAAAACCGTAAGCCGTTCGTTTTTGGCCAGGGAAAGGGCCAGGGCCGTGACTATGGCTTTGGCTTTGGCTATGGCCATTTGGCAGTTTCCTGCTTCGCATTTCAGCCATTCAGCGCACTGCCATTTCGGTCAATAAACCGAGTCGAGCGAGTGCAGGTCCGAAAAAAGCGTATGCAAATATACTACTACCACGTTTTCGCACGCTGGCGTTTTGTGTTTGCATTAGCTCAATTTTTATTGTCCGCCCAGGAAGTGCAAAAACGTGGCCAACAGAAATGTTCACTTTGCAGTTGCGTTGTGCACGTTGTGGCGGCTTATCGCCGGCTATATAGTTGGTCAGAAAATAAAACCGAAAGGCCGTAATGAGAGTCATATTTAGTAGGTTTGTTCTCGGTGAGAAACTCAGCAAATTGCTGGAATTTTCCTCCTTTTCCCCCAATTTATTTGCATTTCATTAATAATTACTCGATTTTTTTCTGATTGGATTACCTTGATCGGGAGACCTGCAAGTTAATGCTTGACAAAGCGTAAGGACAAATAATTCCATAATTAACAGAGGGAAAAAAGGGCAGCGGCAGCAAGTGAACCGAAAATGCGACAATAATGAGCCAGAAATTACATTTTCAGCTTTGGCAAAGACAACAAATGATGACACAACCGAGCGAGGAGTACACTGCAGGCAAAGGAAATCAAATATACAAAATATTTATGATTTCTATCAGTGATTTAAGGCAATTTCTAATTAATACGTTAAGAAATATGAATTAAAAACCATTGTGTTTTGAGCGAAAGTAGAACGAGTATGCTATACTTCTCTTCTCTTTACAAACTGATTAATAAAAACAAAGTCTTTATAACAATTAAATTCCCTTATAAGAAAATCGAATTCTAATTAAATTCCTTATTTAAAAATCTTTTGTTGCAACCATTTTCTACCAATCTTTGTAAGCAAT